AACAATAGTGCCATCTAGTGACCGCTTGCTTTCTTTACCTTCTAGAAATAGTTATGCGTTAAATCAGAATTTGAAAAATGATCTGTTAATTGCGTTCTGCTTACTAGTATCTGTTTTATGGTGTTTATATTAATTAGATATTTTTATGCTTTACAGCTTATGGAAAAGAAGGAGTGAAATTAAATTTTGTTGATCGAATCTTTGTCGGAGAGCTGACCAGCACCATAATGTGTGAAGAGTGTGAGCATGTACGTTTTTTAAATTCCTGATCATTTGTGTTATCTATGATCAGTCTTTTTAGCTCAAAAGTTTCATTGCATAGCTAAAAAAGAAAGTCTACATTACACTTCTTTTTGGCTTTGATGCTTCAAAACCATGGGTCTGAAACTGGATTCCTGGAGGGCCGCAGCTCTGCACAGTTTTGCTTCAATCCTAATCAAACACATCTAAACCAACTAATCAAGGTGTTCAAAACTAGGATGCTGTGTCCCAATTTGTGTACTTATACTATGCCCTATCAGCTGTGTTTGATTAGGGTTGAAGCATAGCTGTGCAGAGGTGTGGCCCTCCAGGAATTGAGTTTGAGACCTATGTTCAAAACCTTTCACATCTTAGATCCCTGTATTATATTTAAAAATATTTTCAGATGTTTACTATAGTTTCAGATGTATTTTAACATTCATACATGTCCATCTAAAACATCTCATTTAATTGTTTATATAAAATGCAATTATAAAATTAATAATTAGTCAACTCATAGTGAAAAATACTCTTTTAATTCAACTGTGTTATGGTTGTGTTCTCATGTTTATGTTCTTCACTTATAGATTTCTACAGTGAAGGAAGCCTTTATTGACATTTCTCTTCCCATCATTGAGGAAAGGGTGAGACCAGCCTTAATTTATTGTTCAACAATTGTATGTTTCTTATTTTCTCTCCTGTATGATAAAAATATGTCCTTGCTGTGAATGAACTGTGTTGAGTTGAGTGAAATCTTTTGTTGAGGTTTTGCTGGTTTTCTTTTACAGATTTCAAAGCCCACAAACCCTGCTAGACTGGGCAAAAGTGGGCGGGAACAAGACAGTCTGACCTCCCATGATGACTCATTAGCTGCCCACTCCCAGGCCAATCGAAACAGCAGGAGGCTCAGTGGACAGGTAAGCGGAGCCATGAGTATTAATAAAACACAAAATATACAGTATTGATTGTGTTCAGTTAAAATTTTTTGTGTTCCTGAAAGAAGTCTCTTCTCCTTTCCTATCTGCATTTATTTAATTATAAGTACAGTTAAAAGTAAAATACGGAAAAATATTGTTGCGAATTTACTTTTGAATATACACTACAGGTCAAAAGTTTGGGGTCAGTTTTAATTTTTTTTTCAAGAAAATTATTATGTTGATCAATTAAATATTTATTAAAAATTTAAATAACTGCTCTCCTATTTTATATAGTTTCAAATGAAATCATTACTCCAGTCATTGTTGCTTTTATTACTTATACCATTAATAATAATAATAATAATGATAATAATAATAATAGTAATAATAATAATAATTTGTATTTTATTTTATTTATTTATTTATTTATTTGTTTATTCATTCATTTATTTATTTATTTTTTTTTTTTTTGGCTGTGGTTTATTCTAAACTAATAATGTCCAGTAGATAGAGCTTCCGGGATAGATCAGTCAGAGCAGATGGATCCAGATTTTTAGGATTGTTTTTTGCAGCAGTCAGAACAACTGACAAAATCCTTCTTTGGTTGATGGATAAGGAGAGTGATGAATCGTCCAGCATGAGAAAAAGCATTGGGTCGCGTTGGATCTGAGTTTCCATTAGCTCTGATAGTAGGTCCCATACTCATGACCAGAATAATGCAATTTGGGGACATTCCCAGAACATATGTATACAAGTACCTTGTGTAGAGTTGTTACATATATGAAAAAAAAGACTCTGATTTTCTTTTTATTTTAAATAACAGGTATGGGGTAGCATAAGCTTTAAAAATTAATTTATAATGAATCATTTGGTGAGCTGGGCTTTTTGAAGTTACAAAATAGTTTTCCCAGATATTTGAGTGATTTCTGAAAGATCATGTGACTCTGAAGACTGAAGTAATGAAGCAAAAAATTCATCATTAAAATCACTATAATAAATTCTTAAATAAAATAGAAACTACTTTTTTAAACAGTTATTTAATAGTGCAATAAAATTTCACAATTGTATCATTTGTATTGTATTTTTGATTAAATAAATGCAGCCTTGCTGAGCAGAATAAGCTTATTTTAAAACAAAAAATCATACCCCAAAATTTTGACCAATAATGTACTTCATAATGTAATTTATTCTTTTGTGATCTTTCGAATATGAAATCAGAGATTTGTTGTTAAAAATCTATATGTGATCTGTGGTCTTTTGTTGTATGGGCAAATTTTTGGCAAAAACCAAAAATATATTTTGCCAAATATTATTAGAGTTATTAAGTAAATTAGTAAGGTAAACTAAATTAATATTATTATTATTATTAAATTATTATTATTAGGTAAAGTAAATTATTATTAAATAAAGATCATGTTTTATGAAGATATTTGATAAATTACCTACTGTAGTTATATTAAAACCATTTTTTTCATTGCTAATATGAATAGCTAAGAGCCTAATTTACACAACTATAAAGGTAAATTTCTAAATATTTAGATTAAATTATTATAATATATTTAGATTTTTTAAACTCTTTAAAATTCTTCATGATTTCATATTTTCAAATAGTCGTATCTTGGCCAAACATCGTTCTATGCTAACAAACCATACATTAATGTATTGTTTATTTATTTACCCTCCTAGGACTCCTTATAAATCCAAATTTAAAAACTTGATTAGTTGTGTGGTCCAAGCTCAAATTTTTCAATCATAGTAGGATTTGTTTTCAGGATTCTTTTAATGAATAAAGAGTTCAAAAGGAAATATACCCGTTTCACTATTTGCAGTTACCATATATTTGCAGGCTATTCGCAGGGTTTCAAAAATGATTAAAAGTTGATAAATCAATGTAGACAATTTTAAGGCCCTTATAAAGTATTAAAAAGTCCTTAATGGCAATTTGCAAAAAACTAAATTTTATAGCATTTTTAATTATGCAATGCATGGTCATATACTAAAGTTAGCTTATATTAAATCTGCAAATATCAGGATGCTCTGTAGTTTATGAAATCAATAAAACCTGCTAGATGTGACATCACGCTGCTTTGTTTACTTCAGTAACCAAGGCAACACCATTATTTCTGCAGTTCAATAGGCACCAACCTGCTGAATTAGCTAGATTTAATAGATTTTCATTCAGTATATGAATTATGTTTTAGTTTTGGATTAGTTTCTTACATTAATATTTAGTAAATATATTGTACAATTAAAATCTCGGCAGTGTTTCCGGTTGAAACCTAAAGTGGTTATGAGTTCTTAAAGTATATTAAAAGGTTGTTGAATTTTTTTTTTTTTTTATTGACTATACGACTCTGTTTTCAGAAGCTACAGAGCCGCCATTCGTCCACGTCTCATGATGACCGAGGCCCAGACACTGTTTCTAGCCGTCAAGAGGAGGATCTCTGTGTGGCTGGCCGTGGCCTATCCAGTTACAGGACTGATACAATGGGCAGCCAGTCAGACTGCAGTGAAAAAGAGTCAAACCTGCAGGACAGCAGTAACGATGCAGACAGCGAGGCCTCTGAAAGTGAATGGTCTCCCCGAATCCCATCAGTGTCCAGTCACAGCAGCACATCAGATAAAACCTCAATCACCACAACTCTATCCACAACAACACACAATCCAAGTTTAAAATCGAACCCAAGCTCCACTCCATTACCCTCCATTAGGCCCCAGCAGGGCGGCGCTGTGGAGCAGCTTGTCAGCGCTGTGTCCAAACTGGGCCTGGTTCACACATCCACTGATACTCTACCCATCAGCCACAGCCAAGAGGAGCTGAGTGAGACCCGGGACAGAGACCGTCAACACCATCAAGGGGCCTTTCAAGTCCTCTGTCACAGCTACACCCCCAGCTCAAAAGAGTGCTCTGTCCAGTCCTGCCTTCATCAGTTTACCTCTATTGAGCTGCTTATGGGAAACAACAAGCTGCTCTGTGAAAACTGCACTGACAGGAGGCAGAGGCAGATGAAGAGGAGCGGTATGTATTACCGACACATTTTCAAAACTTTACTATATATGTGGCTTAGGGCTGTCAGTTGATTAAGGTTTTTAATGTAATTAATTAAATAATGCTGTGATTAATTCCCCTGTTAAAATGTGAATTTAAGCACACATTAAATTTGATTAGAAAATAATAAAATATATTTAATAATAAAATAATATAGTTATTATGTTATATGAAAAAAGTATTAATTTACAAAGACTTTTTAAAAAAAATATTTTACAATCTTTTAAGCCATACTTTTATTATACTTAGTTTTATGTTTATTTTATTTGTATAGATTTAAATTAATATTGTAAGGCTTGAAGCTTATGCTGCTATTCTGAACTAACTTCTGAATCTCAGCGCTTTAAAGCAGGCGAAGTTGTTTATTAAGTTACATGTTAACACATTCAGACAGTAGAATGAAACAAATGAATACACTATAGAAACAGTGAAGCTGTCACATATGAACTTCTATGTAACTTCTAAGACAGTGAAACTGCCTTTGTTAGCTAATGAGGCTACGCACCGTTGTGCACAGAGTAAAAGCCATTCTCCCCGATAAACTGTCACCTTTCCTTATAATATCCTGAGCAAAGCATCATGAAACATGAGTAAAATACCAATCCCCAAAACTAGCTAAACATGAATACAAAGTTGAAGAGACAAAGTTAGGGAGAAGTACTCTCCTCAGGCCATGACCCAACAATAGTAAATAGATTGTATATTGAAATACATCAATGTCTCTGTTGATTTCAACTCTATGGTAAAAAGCACCTGATTACTGTAAGCAAATGGCAGAGATGTGTATTCGAGCTTTGATGAACTCACACCACGTCAGGAGGACTCCTCGTTTGACTGGAATGTCCCAGTAGTTCTTCATTAGCATAGTAGAAATAGTATATAATATTTTCGCGGCTTACAATATGAAATTTGAAAATATTTTTTAATTAAATAATTATCTTAATAGAAATCTGAAAAATAAGGATATATTTAATTCAGTGACGAAACAGCTGTGCGATAATTGAAGATGCTATTTTGCTGAGGTTTTATAGATACTATTTCATTAAACTGAATTGACTATCTAAAATATAAAAGAATATTAATTTCTGATTTGCGAAACGATTATATGAAAGTAGGCATGCTTGTTCTCATTATAGTTTGTGTTGTTGTCACAATTCAGAATCTTGTTAAACTTTCACTAAGCAGCAAATTTTCAGCCACTGAATAAGAAAAACAGCCAAAACACAAGATAAAAAACTCCCTCCAGCCATAGTCAATAGCATCACTGTGTTGTCATGGTAATGCAAAAAAAAAATAATTCTTTTAACTGATTTTTTTATTGGCTTTTTATTTAAGTGTTATTTTATTTAAGGTTATTCAGTAAAAGTCTTGCAGAACTGCTTTATATTATTTAAAGGGCACCCTAGATGAAAATCATGTTTAGTGGTAAGCTATTTGGACAGAACTGTGTGTATGTAAAGTTTGTCCACAGTCATTTTAGAGTGATAAAAACACAATAAATATCTTTTTTTATTTTTATTTTCGGACGTTAAAATATTAGAATAAGATTCAAATCCCTCCCATTTTAAGCCCACTGCAACTTAACATAGGAGTGCGGTTTCCCCGCCCACCGAATTGAATGACTGCCGCTTATTACCATGTCTCTGAAGTAATGCTTATAATCATATCCACAAGACAGGACGTGCGCAAAGCAAATGGGATTAAAAAATCTGTTGAGCTAGCTGTGATCATCAGTCATCATCAAATGTGATGAAGAATGAGTATTACAAGTTTAAAACATTTTTAAAACAGTGCATATTAGTTAAAGATGGTAAAATCTCTGTAATTCATCACCACAGCCGCATGTCAGTACAATTATAAAAGAAGACGCTTCAATCCCAGTGTGTGATTGTTACATCAGACTTATTTAGTACATTACCATAACGGATATCCATACAGCAGTAGATAACGTATATCCTGTCACATTTGCGTGCAAAAACAGTACAAAGGTAAACGTGCTTGCTGTGTGTTTGTGCATCCGCTGTGTGTTTGTGTGTGTGTGCGTGAACTTTGTAACAACACTGTGTGTGACTCATCGTTGCAGAAAGGCTTGAATTAACCCCACAACAAATGCATCAAATAATCATTGGGAAAGTTCTTACTGCAGCATTTCTCACAAACGTTACATGAAATCAGCTTCATGTCTGTCACTGTGCTGTTTATCTAGCAAAGATTTATTTAGCACACTCTGACAAAAAAGGGGCAAAATAGGTGCCCTTTAATAAAATAATAATAATAAAGTATTTCAGTTTTGTTTTTTAGCCAAGTACATCCAAAAAAGTTGGTTTTGGTTAAGAATTTTCACTTTGGTGCATCCCTAGTTTTCTAATCATAATTTGTTTTTGAGGCTGAATGGTCACATGCTCAGTAGTAGTTAACAGAATTACTTCTGGTACTAAAAAAATTACAGCCTTAAAGATTATGAGTTGTTATTACTGAAGTGCAGTTCCACTTAACCCTTCTGATCTAAATCACTTGTTTTCTACATTTCAGATAAGAAGGCAGAGAAGGTGTACACCAGTGCCCGTAAACAGATGCTCATATCTGCACTTCCTCCAGTCGTCACTCTTCACCTCAAACGCTTTCACCAGGTCTTTAATAATCTGCACTCATCTTAAGTACTTTAGCTGTCATTTCAGTTTATTTGCAAGCTAAACTCATCTGTTAAAAGTGAATGTAAGGCTTAATGTGATTGAATGCTCATTCGTCTACTTGGACGAAAAAGAAGATCTCTGGTGGGCATTTTAAAAAATCTATAGCAATTTTTTTTTCCACCAAGTGTGTAAAATGCTTCGTTCTTTGCCAATGCTCTTATTGAGTTGTTTGCATCTTTTCAGGCTGGGATGAATCTGAGGAAAGTTAATAGACATGTGGACTTTCCTCTTTTGCTGGACCTGGCACCTTTTTGCTCCGCCACTTGTAAGGTACTGATCAGAGTTCTAGCATTCAAGACCTGTGATTTGTGAGTTTACAGTGTTCTTCCCAATATAGATTTGTTGTTTATGTTTGGCAGAACCTCGGGTCAGGAGAGCGTGTGCTTTACAGTTTGTATGGCATTGTGGAGCACAGTGGATCGATGCGAGGTGGGCATTATGCAGCCTATGTAAAGGTCCGAACACCTCAACGTAAACCTGAGCAGCGCCGGAACCAGTCAGGTACAAAGCTGCATGGGCAGCATTTCATGCATCAATACATTTTCTTTGCAGCTGGCTCTGAATGGCTTGAATAAAACCTGTGAATAAACAAAGATTGTTTTCATTATGGCATTGGACCTGCATTCACTGCAACCTTGAATAAGTAGCTTGTTCAGTAAAGGCCAAGTGGGTTTTGTTTTTTGTTGATCTATCGATGTGTTCTTCTTCACTCACTACTCAAGGAGAGCGTCTACGTTACAGCATTGTTTGGAAGTAAGAGTAAATGGGCTGTGAGAAGCGATTGAACACACTTTGGTAGTTAACTACTGTTGTGCGCAAATTGAAAATGAATTGTTGCAAGGTTATAATTAAGTTTGAGGTCTGCGTAAAAGACTTCTTTAACAGGAGGAGGAGCTGAAAATCCACATTTCGCCTGTGTTTTGGTGTTAAGTGTTTTCTTTTTTATGACTGTTTAAAATGGCGAAATTCAATAAGTTTGTGTGGTGATTGTTGAGCTTTATTGAATTGAATGCAGGGTTGATTGTTACCTGTAATTGTTCAATTACAACATTTGTAAAACATGTCCAAATTTACAAAGTTTAATCTAAATCAATTATTTTTCTAGCATAAACTTTCACTTCAGGTGAGCAAAATTCTAAATTTTTCCATGTTGCAGTGGTTTGATGATACATTTGATAACTTCAGTAAATTTGTTAATTTAGTCCTATAGGGTGTGTGAGAGATGAGGAAAAGGCAGAGTTAATTTTTATTTTTAATTTTATTATGAGTTTATTTTTTGACGTTTTTATGATACTGTTTTAACTTTAAAGATAATTTTACAATTACATAAAAAGGCGTAATGGTGACCCATATATATTTGGGACCAAAACTACTCAATTAAAATGGGTATTTTGTAAAACTACATTTTAAATTAAAAAAAAAATTTCCTTAACAAAAATATGCTTTTTTAACTTAATGCTTTTATAATTATACATTTAGCAGACACTTTTATCCAAAGTAACTTACAAATGAGGATAAAGCACTTCCAATCACCAGAAAGCAGCAATATACACTCATCGGCCACTTTATTAGGTACACCTTACTAGTACCGGATTGGATCCCCTTTTGCCTTCAGAACTGCCCTAATCATTCGTGGCATTGATTTGATAAGGTACTGGAAATATTCCTCAGAGATTTGTCCTCCATAGTGACATGATAGCATCACGCAGATGCTGCATATTTGTCAGCTACACATTCATTCACGTTTAATGACAGGGCGTGTTATGCTGCTGGAAGTAGCCATCAGAAGATGGGTACATTGTGGTCATAAAGGGATGGACATGGTCAACAACAATACTAAAGTAGGCTGTGGCGTTGACATGATGCTTAATTGGTACTAATGGGCTGAAAGTGTGCCAAAAAAATATCCCCCGCACCATTACAACACCACCACCAGCCTAACCTGTTAATACAAGGCGGGATGGATCCATGCTTACATATTGTTCATGCCAAATTCTGACACTACCATTCGAATGTCACAGCAGAAATCAAGACTCATCAGACCAGGCAATATTTTCCAAATTCTGCTGTCCAATTTTGGGGAGCCTGTGTGAATTGTTGCCTCAGTTTCCTGTTCTCAACTGACAGGAGTGGCAACTGGTGTGGTCTTCTGCTACTGTAGCCCAACTGCCTCAAGGTTTGGCGTGTTGTGTGTTCAGAGATGCTCTTCTGCATACCTCGGTCTTAGCAAGTGGTTATTTGAGTTACTGTTGTCTTTCTATCAGCTGGAACCAGTCTGGCCAGTTTCCTCTGACCTCTGGCATCAACAAGGCATTTGCGTCCACAGAACTGACACTGGATTTTTCTCTTTTTTGGAACATTCTCTGTAAACCATAGAGATTAGCAGTTTCTGAAATACTTAGACCAACCTATCTGGTACCAACAACCATGCCACGTTCAAAGTCACTTAAATCACCTTTCTTCTCCATTCTGATGCTGGGTTTGACCACATGTCCACATGCCTAAATGCATTGAGTTGCTGCCATGTGATTGGCTGATTACAAATTTTCATTAAAGAGTGACCTAGTAAAGTGGCCGGTAAATGTATAGACGCCATTTCCAAGTTAGTTTTTTTTTAAACATACACAAATATACATGGACATATATACATGCACACAGTGTGAAAAGAGTGTGTCTCTTACAGGTAGTTTGTCAAGCCACTCACCTGTGTATAGCACCCTCCGAATTGCACAATATTTTCCCAGAAAAGTGTTTTTATAAGAAAACCTCTGGTGCATATAGAGAGTAAAAGATTGTGAATGTTTTTATTTATTGCTAACACTGATGACCAGTACCACACTCTACATGTTTTTATGTTCATCTCTCATCTCTGTATTTTTCAGGTTCCCGAGAGGCCTGTTCAGCTCCACAAGGTCAGTGGGTATATGTCAGCGACACCACTGTACAGACTGTCCCTGAGTCCAGAGTGCTGAACTCTCAAGCTTATTTACTTTTCTATGAAGAACTGCTATAGAGCTGGACGGACACATTAACCTAAGACGATCCAGATGAAGACAACAGGCAATATCAGCTCAGACAACAGCTAGCACTTACTGCATGCCGATTTCCCTGTATTTTAATGTAGGACTCCATATACTAAAAGATTGGTCTGAATGCAAATCGGGAGCCATTATTATTGATGTAAAATAATCTGCTGAATTTAAGTTAATAATGTTTTACAGCTAATATTTGAGTTTAAAGTTTTTTTTTGTGCTTATTTTGCAGGAAAATTGCCAAAGATTAATTTAGGATGAACTATGTACAGAATATATCATAAGAGATGGACAATTGTCCAAAAGTGTCTATAATACCCTCTGTTGTGAAGGGGAAACTCAACACAATATGCAGCTGTTGCTTTCGGAGCTGTCATATTCTGAACTGGAACTCACACGTTATGATTTGCTTTAGGACCTTGTTACATTCACAGGCTTGACTTATAGCAATATCTGTATTTTGTTCATTTTCTTAACTATTTTTGTTCATTTAAAAGGATGGTTCACCAAAATAGTTATTTAATCACCACTCCACTTGTTCCAAACTGATATAAGTTTATTTCTTCTGTTGAACAAAGAAAATATTTTATATAATGATGGAAACCAGTAGCCAAAGACTTTCACTGCAGTATTTCCTCTAGATGTCATTGACTTCCCCTTTCCAACATTTCTCAAAACATCATCTTTTGTGTTCAAAAGAAAAAAAGAAACTCAAAGGTTTGAAACCACTTTAGGAAGAGTAAATTTGAGTGAACAGTTCTTCGATTTGCTAGATTAATACTCAATTTTCATGATATATCTTTTGTTTTTCGCTTACATTTTTCAATATACTTTGGCTTATTTTGATCTAAATGGCGGATTGGTTCCTCCTTAAAGGTTTTATGAATTTGTAACTTAAATATATTAATATCTAACAGTTAAGGAGTTAAAATTGCTGAACTTTGCCTCATGCCTAATTTTTTTTTTTTTGCAGAACTGAATATGACTACAAAAAAGTTGTATTAATATTATTATTATTATTATTATTATTATTATTATTTTCTGCTTATGACAAATACCAGAGATCCTGTGCCTACGGTTTATGAGGGCTGAGATTGTTTGAGCATGCCTTTAATGAAGTATTACATTCATGCCGGAGTATAACGATGTGTATATACTGATCATAAATATACATGATTGTATGTAAAATATGTATCATGTTCAATACTATTTATTCTGTTTACCAGGCAAATATTGTAACACCATAGATTTGTGTGGTGTGTAAGGCTTCAGGGTTCCTCAAGCTGTTCTTTTGCTTGAATTTTGTGAATATAATCTCATTTAAAAGGACAATTTAAATACAATTAATTGATGAAAACCTTTTGGAATGGCTTCATTGCTATACTGAATTGCTTTGCACTCTGTGCCTTCTCTCTCTTTTACAAGAGATGTGGTCGGCCATTAGTCTCTGCTGTCGCCACAAATCCCAGGATGCCATTTTCACTATGTCCACTGCTTCGATTTGCTGTGACGGGTGCAAAGGCGTGCTGTTTTCAACCATGTCGTTGACTGGTGAAGAGAAGGTGGGTGTGGAATTCAGAAAAGGGCAACGTCCGAAACGATCCCGTCCTCTTCTCATTCTCTGACATTCAAGTCAAGCTGTTAGACAGTTATCAGTTACAACCAACGATAAAGACAACAAGAGAGTGCAACCTTTAAAGCAGGGCTCTGATTCAGGAATGTTGTTGTGCCTGTGATTTAATGTGAGCTAATGATAGATTCAGTCTGAACTGACAGAAAAACCTGATGTGAGGGACGGGTTGAGCTGCTTCTGCTTGCTAAAGAACCCGCTGAATGTGAACAGAGACGTTCAGACATAACGGGGTAGAAATGTTTTTATTTATACCTTCAGGGCAGACATAACAAGTGGTTAGAGAGAATGCTTGTTATCTTTTTTGACCTAGCTGTGTTACTTGACAACATGTAACCCCTTCTGTCAGTCTTGTAAATGCGATTATGTCTGTTTGGGGTGGCAGCTGTATGTGAATTCTGGACACCAGAAAAGGGAAGTCTGTGATAGGAATCTGTTATGATGGATGGGTTGGATATCAAAGCTCATTTTTAAAGATTTACATCTCAGGTCCTGGTTTTGAACCAGTCCTACTGTATGCATGCATTTGCTTTTATGTGTTGAAGATGCCAGGCTATCTGAAATGTCTGCGGTATTCAACTCTCGGCTGCTTTACATATTCTTAGTTTGTCCTCAAAATTCCTTCATTCCACACAAGATTCAGGTTCAGTGTGTGGTTGGTAGTGAATTGCTCACTTTAACGTCGACACAATGTGGTGTGTCTTTCACATACACCACTTTTTTTTTGTCTCGTAGACATTCACAATAGACTACTAGATAGTCTAGTATGCTTGTTTCAATATATCTTAAGATGTTATTGGCCACTTTTATTTAAGCTTTGAATCTCTTTTTGGTTTATTTCAGTGTTCCAATAATAAGGCAATTTCTTTTCATATAAAAAAAATGGTAAAAATCTGTCAATCAATTTTAAATGAAGCTTTCTAAAGGCACTTTCCTGGTAGTGTCCTGATTTAACATATGTAAGCTCATCTAATAAGTTCATTATCCATTTAGAGCAATTGTTATCATTCTAAAGAGACCCAGTCTTACTAAAAATAATGTTAGCAATTCACTGTACAATTTCTTATTATTACCTTATTAATTTTGACCAAAATGACTACTGTAGCCAGTATCGAGTAACTAGACATGTAATGTAATGTCATGTGTATTTAGATTGCATTTATTGTGTTTGGCCATAACCCAAAGTGCTTTACAATCATGAGGGGGAATCATGGAGGGGGAGTCTCTCCACACCACCACTGGTGTCCAGCATCCACTTGGATAATGTGAAGGCAGCCGCTGGACAACAGCGTCAATGCGCTCACCACACACCAGCTATTGGTGGAGTGAAGAGACAGTGATAGAGCCAATTTAGTGGATGGCAGTGTCAAACACAGAGATTTGTGTGAATGTAAAGTCCTTGCAAACATTCAGCCTCAGGATTATTTTGCCATCATGCCAGTAAATTTGTTGATGGATTTAAGGATGATTAAATGCTTTGGTACGGCAATAATAAATTCAGAACTTTTGCCAGGAAGGTCAACCATGGTTTTACAATAACTAAAAAATGTGATAGATAGGTTTTTGTTTATTATCTTCTTCTTTTTTACATTAAAGAGTATCTTAAAGATAGTTATCTGAATGTAGAGAGAACATTGCATTTCAGAAAAAATAAATAAATCTTTTCCTGGCTAGCCAACAGATAACATTTTGAGAAAATAAGGTTCTGCTCACATACCGGTTTTCAAATATTACCTAGCTAACTTCCTGATTACTCTGGGAGCATTCGTTTGTGGGTTCTAGAAAAATGGAATGTGTTTATTTTATAGTGCATTTACTGGTATGGCAATACACCCGAAGCACTTCACAATCATGAGGGAGGGATGGAGGACTGTAGGGGTCGTGGGGTGGATTGGGGGACAGGACAACTGCTGTGCTAACCACACACCAACTATAGACCATTTGATTGTGGTCCATGAACATTTCCTGCTTATTTTTCCTAACTGTTAAATGTGGCAGTTCAACTTGACATTAAAACAGCGATCATAACATTATATATGGCTCTTTTTGGGATTCTCTGAAGCTATAGAATTAAAAATGTAAGACAGGAAATACATGGCACCATTGTTTTTTTTTTACATCCCTCAAAATGGTCTTTAGGTGGAGTGGAGAGACATTGATACAGCCAATTCGGTGGATTGGTTTGATTGGGAGGCCATGAAGGGTAAGGGCTAAGGGAGAGAATTTTGCCAGGACACCAGGGTTGCACCCCTACTCTTTACAAGAAGTGCCATGAAATTTTTAATGACCACAGAGAGAACGTCTCATTACCACGATGACTTTACTGGGGCATTAGCGCCCGCACGGACCGCAGGTTGAGCGCCCCCTGCTGGCCTCACTAACCACTTCCAGTTCCAACAGCAATCTAGTTTTCCCATGTGGTCTCCCATCAAGGTACTGACCAAGCTCAGACCTGCTTCGCTTCAGTGAGTAACCGGTCTCGGGCTGCAGGGTGATATGGCTGTCATACTCCTATATAGTTCGGGCTCCAAAATTAGTTTGCTAGGCAGTAGCTATATCAAAAAAATGCTAAACTGTTATGTTTGGTACTTGTTTGTTAATGATTAGAAAATGCTTTTAAATTCAGTCTTATTTTTTAATAATTTAAGCTATTTCATTCTATATTTTTGTGTAAATGACCAGTTTGAAAATAAGCTGTCATTACAGAAGTCTGAAAAGGTTAACAGGTTGTGAACACCTGATTCAGTACCATACTTGACAACATTTCTTACTGTTTTTTTTTTTACTACAGCCTACATTAAAAGTTAGGATTTTTGGTTATCCAGAGGATAACAAATAATTTAATTACGGGATAGTGATAATATTAAATGATGGTACAGTGTTTGTTATTGTCATTAATCTGGCCTTGAAGTGTCCCGTGTGTATCCGCTAGAGGGCCTGTGGGTTGAGGTCACGGATGCCGCCACTGTTTCCGGGTCATCATTTCATCGCCATTTTACTGCTAAGAAGCAGAAGTGAAGAGGTAAGATATCGCAACGTGTTTGTAAATCTTCCTCGTACTCCATCGAATTTCTGCCCTTCGCTTTGACATCGTCTGCAGCGATAAGTTAGCTAGTTCATTTCGAGCAAGTAAACCGGCGGAAAAAAGTTTAAAGTACGTGTTGATGTGTAGACGTGCGGCCTAACGCTGGGCTAGCTAGCTAGCATTACGACGACGCTTGTGTCGATTTCATTTAAGGTATACTTGTATTTAGTAAAGTACAAGAAGGTGAATGCACAGAAAGATGCTGTAAATCACCCAGAAAACATTTAAGGAACTCCTAAATCATACTAGACGTGTTTTGCAGTGGTTCGTTTTCTTTGGTGTGTTTTGGAAGTGCAGCTGTGCGGGTTACATTACAGCTGCGTCGACCCTCAGTGGGAAAGCTGGGCTTGTTTTTAAAGCCCTTAAAAGGAAATAGCTAGCCAAATGATGTAATATAGTTTTATTTGCAGTCATTTGCAAATAAAATGTTTGTGTTTTGCACGATTTGACATGTATGTTTGTGGCACAGGATTCAGAGGAGAGAGATGTGGGATCAGGGAGGACAGCCCTGGCCTCAGTGGCCCCTGGGCTCACAGCAGCAGTGGATGCAGTCATTTCAGCATCAGCAAGATCCAGGTTAGAATGCTTTAATTATCTGACAGCACTAACGTGTAGTATAATCATTTGAACTGCTCAATTCAGTGCACGTTTTCTCGGTTTGTTTTCGCAGGTCAAGTGGACTGGGCTGCTTTAGCACAAGCATGGATTGCACAGAAGGAATCCACTGGAGTTCCTGATCAGCCAGGGATTCAGCCCAATGGCCAGGAGATGCCAAACATGGAGCCTCCAGCCCATAATAACCATGGTGCCTTTCCAGGCGATCCAAGTTTTGGCAGAGGTTGGCAACCAGGTGAGAGACCATAGACAATTTTAAGAGATATTCCAGTTTGAGATGCATTCCTGGTTGCATTGTTTGTGTCACATGACTTAGTCAGCATGAATCTGCAGTCTTATGATTTCTGGAATGCAGACACCGAATGTCAATTTCCAAATTTTGGATGACTAAATGCAATGTGTTGTCTGTAAACATTAAACCGCAAACACACACTATCTGAAGGAATGGTGTGATTTTGTTTGCTTCATGCTGAAGAATGATGCTTTAAAAATGACCACTCTATTTAACATTGTGATGATGTATTACAGTAATTTTTATTTTTATTTAGTGCAAACTATATTTCAATGCATTTCTATTATGATTGTTTCTAGAGTGGGGAATGCATAGCCAGCCACCACCTCCCCCTCCTCCAGAACAAGCATGGATTCCTTCAGGTCAAGGGCCAATGGATGTTGTCAACCCCTCAGAAGACAGTAACAGCCAGGATAGTTTGGATTTTCCGGTAGAAACACGCCATGGAGGCTTTCCTCAAAACAGCCATGGATTTGGGAGTCAGCCTGAGCCTTATTCTATAGGCCCAATTGGGGTCAATCAGTTTGATTATCAGGTATGCTTGCTTTGGTCTGGATTACAAAAAGGTACTTCCGATCTTCAAACTTCTGTTTTATTAACATTTACTTGTATTTCATATTAGCATGGGGCAGCGCCAACGGGGACATCATATGGGCCACCATCCACCGGGTTTCATGCACCTTATTGGCCTGATGGGCCGCAGAACAGAAGAGACCGGCTTCCTGCCTTTAGGCC